TGATGTCCTTGATGTCATTCCATAACTCATCTGGTCTTCAATCATTAGTGTTCTACGCATCAAATCTATTCTTGAGATGGTGTCTAAACTCGGTTGGTATATACTCGCAGTCATACTTTGGCTCTCGTGGACTTGTTCTAATTTTCTTCAGCTTCAATTTGAACTTGCATTTGAGCAATTGATGGTCTGCTCCGCAGTCAGCCCCTGGCTTTGTTCTGACTGATATTGAGCTTTTCCATCATCTCTTTCCACAGATGTAGTCGATTTGATTGCTGTGTATTTCATTTGGCAAGGTCCACTTGTATAGTCTCTGTTTATGTTGTTAAAAAAAGGTATTAGCAATGAAGAAGTCGTTGGTCTTGCAGAATTCTATCATGCAATCTCCAGCATTTCTATCACCAAGGCCATGTTTTCCAACTACCAATCCTTCTTTGTTTCCAATTTTCCAATTGCCAGTAATTGTCAGTGCATCTTGATTGCGTGTTAGATCAATTTCAGACTGCAGAAGTTGGTAAAAAATCTTCAGTTTCTTCATCTTTCGCCTTAGTAGTTGGTGCATAAATTTGGATTAATAGTCATGTTAACTAGTCTTCCTTGTAGGCGTATGGATATTATCCTATCACTGACAGCACTGTGCTTCAGGATAGATCTTGAAATGTTCTTTTTGATGATGAATGCAACGGCATTCCTCTTCAATTTGTCTTTTTAATGGGATAATAAATTTTCATAAGGAAGGTATAACATTGCACAATCTCTGTGCACAGACACACACAGAGACGCACACATACACAAATTAAGTCAGATTTTTCTCTGACTAAACTTTTTACTTCTATCTTGAGCATCCATGTGATTTAACATAGAAAACAATCTAGTCACTTCTGTCACTTTCAGAATGAGAGTACCTAGAGAGCTAAACTCAGTCAGTTCAGGATTGTAAACTTTCTCCACTTGACTTCCCATAATAAACCAGTTGCCAGTCTAGTTGACGCTGTCTCATGATGACCTCATGTGTGTCAGAATGAACTACGCTTCATAGAGTTTTCAGTGGCTGATTTTTCAGAAGTAGATGGCAGGCCTTTTTTCTGAGGTGCCTCTGAGTGGACTCGAACCTTCAACATTTTAGTTAGCAGCTAAGGCGTTAACTGTTTGCACCATCTCAGGGACTCCTGTCTCCCCATGTTGTTGTGTGCCATCCAGTCAATTCTGGCTCGCAGATACCCTATAGGACAGAGTAGAACTGCCCCATAGGGTTTCCTAGGCTGAAATCTCTACAGGAACAGATTGGTATAGTAGGTCTAAATTACAGGGGATCTTATGTAATGTTCAGGCTGTGGTGGGGCAGAGGAATATTGATTGGAGGAATTCTGTGTATATATATAGGATATTAAATATCATTTTGCTATAAGTCTAGAAATAGTTTGCAATTTGTGTCTTACCTTTCAGCCTCTCTGTATTGTGCATTTTGCACTGCAGAAATTTTTTAATTGAACCCAACTACTGGCAAAAACGTAAAAAAAATTCAATGGCATCACACTTACATTTCAATTATTTATAATTAATGGCGATAGTTCAATAGAAATTCTAATAGATATAGTTTGTTTTCTTGAAGCTAAAGTCACAAGATTTTTTCATCACCAGCATCAACTCCATCCCCTGGATGAATTGTTCTTTATATCTAAGGAAGCATCTGGAATATTGCCTGTCTGGCAATCCAAAAATTTGAACAGTGGCTATTGTTTCTCAGATAAGTACTGGGCTCTCTTCATTTCACAATCATATTTTTAAAAACTAATGAAATATATACACCTCGTTTTAAAAAACGTTAGGCAGTACAAAAGGGCATAAAATAAAAATTGTATTTCCTTTCCTTGCCTTTCTATTAATTACCTGCCCCTCCTTACCCTAGTGTTTTTTTTTTTATTGTTGTAGTTTAAATGAAGTTTACATTTCAAGTTAGTCTCCCATACAAAATTTTATATATACGTTGTTATGTGACCCTAACTGCTCACCCCTTTCTGCAATAGCACAATCCTCCTTTCCACCCCTGATTCCCTATGTCCATTCAACCAGCTCCTAACCCTCTCTGCCTCCCCGTCTCAACCCTGGAGAGAAGCTGCACCTTTGGTCTCTTGTATCTACTTGAGCTAAGAGGCACACTCCTCATGAGTATCACTTTAAGTCCCACAGTTCAGTTCAATCCCTGTCTGAAGAGTTGGCCTCAGAAATTGTTTTAGTTCTGGGCTGATAGAGAATCCAGGGCCCATGCTTTCTGGGGTTCCTCCAGTCTCAGTCAGACCATTAAGTCTGGTCTTCTTACTAGAATTTGAGTTCTGCACCTCATCTTTCTGCTGCTCCATCAGGGACTCTCTGTTGTGTTCCCTGTCAGAGGGGTCATTGGTGGTAGCCAGGCACCATCTAGTTCTTCTGGTCTCAGGCTGATGAAGTCTCTGGTTTATGTGGCCCTTTCTGTCTCTTGAGCTAATACTTTCCTTGTGTCTTTGGTGTTCTTCATTCTCCTTTACGCCAGGTGGTTGGGACCAAGTGATGCATCTTAGATGGCCACTTGCAAGCTTTTAAGACCCCAGATGCCATTCACCAAAGTAGGATGCAGAACATTTTCTTAATAAGCTTTGTTATGCCAATTGACCTAGATGTCTCCTGAAAGCATGATCCCCAGACCCCTACCCCTGCTACTCTGTCTCTCCAAGTATTTGACTGTATTCAGGAAACTTCTTAGCTTTGGTTTAGTCCAGTTGTGCTGACTTCCCCTGTGGTGTGTGCTGTCCTTCCCTTCAATTAAGATGATTCTTATCTACTATCTAGTTAGTAAATAACCCTCACCCTCCCTCCCCACTCTCCTAACCATCAAAGAATGTTTTCTTCTGTGTTTAAACCTTTTCTTGAGTTCTTATAATAGTGGTCTTATACAGTATTTGTCCTTCTGTGACTGACTAAATTCACTCAGCATAATAAGTTCCAGCTTCCTCCATGTTATACGATGTTTCAAGGCTTCATCGTTGTTCTTTATCGTTGCGTAGTAGTCCATTGTGTGTATATACCATAATTTTTTTATCCATTCGTCCATTGATGGCCACTTAGGTTGTTTCCATCTTTTTGCTATTGTGAACAGTGCTGCAATGAACATGGGTGTGCATATATCTATTCGTGTGACAGCTCTTATTTCTCTAGGATATAGTCCACGAAGCCCCTCCTTATTATTGAGCCAGGCACTGACAAACTGTAACCCAAGGGCCAAACCCAGATCTCATCTGTGATTGTAAAATAAAATGTTATTGGAACACTACCACACTCCCATGCATTTTACATGTTGTCTGTGACTATTTTCTCAATGCCTTGCCAGTGCTGAGTAGCTGCAACAGAGACAGTATGGCCTAAAACATTTACTATCTGGTGCTTTATAAACACTGGTATAGTATACACACTGTTCTACCACCTGCTTTTTCATTTAAAAACAGCCATTCATTAAACATATAGATCTACTTCTTTCTTCATAGTGGTGAAGAAGTATTTCATCGTTCATTTAAACAAATTCCAGAATGTTTAACCTGTCTTTTAAGTTGTTTCTGGTCTTTGTTATTATAAAAGATATTTGTATGCATTTGTGTAAAGTACATTTGTTGAATCAGTTTTTACAAGTGAAATTACTGAATAAAGGTTATGTGTCAAACTCAACTGTAAAACATTTTGTGGCAAAACTGCTATAGAATTGAATCAATAGCTACTTCTCTTGTTCTCCCTTCTGTTTAGATAATGTTGGGCATAAAAAGATAGCCAAAGATTATGAATGAAATAATAACTATAATAAGCATATGTGGTGTAATGGATCAATTTTGTGCTGCCTTTCTCACCATGGTCTTGTAACTCCCACCCAAGTGACCGGGTAGAACTGTGCAAATAGGGTAATTGTAGCCTACCAAGGGGATTGGTCAATTTTGCCATCCTGCTGGGCTTGAAAGGAGCTGTCCCAAAGGCAGGAAGCAGAGGATTCCACCACCAGCAATGACGGAGAGCCAGGGGCAGAGCGCATCCTTTGCACCCGGGATCCCTGCACTAAGAAACTCCTGCAACCAGGGTACTGAGAGAGAGTGCTGTAACACTGAAGACAGCGAGATGTGGTGGCAGAGAAACAGCAGCAGGAGAGACTGTAGGAGAGACTGGCAGGAGATGGCATGGTGCTCTTCCTGGCCCACAGAGTGAGAAAGCTGAGTACCTTTGGGCAGGAGACTTGCTGGAGGAGCAGTGTGCTTCCAGGCACTTGGTGGGGTTGGTTTGCTGACCCTCAGAGCTAGAGCTGAGTGCCTTTGGACCAAGGCTTACTGGCAGAGTGGGGTGCCTTTGGGCATTTATCAGTGAGCTAAAAGAGCTTTGTAACACTTGCCTAAGTAAGGCAGAGGCCAAGGGCCAGAGAGAGGTGTGCTTTCGAGCACACCTGGGAAGATGTTGTCCTGGTGGAAGAACTGTATCCTGAGCATTCCTGAACCTAAATTATAACCTGTTACTTCCCTAATAAACCCTATAATCATGAGTATTGTCTCTGAGTTCTGTGTGGCCATTGCAGTGAATTATTGAACTCAGCAGAGAACCCAGATTGCCGTGGGAGGAACAGTTGGTGTCAGATTTGGTAAAGATGGTAGAGAGAGGAGGTCAAAGTGGAGAGAGGAGGCGTGTTTGACCTCCGCCTCATAGGAATCAGCTTTGGGCTGTTGATCTTGATTCTCCTCCCCCTTGTGAAGTTAAAGGAAGTCAGACTCTGCTCCCACACTGTTTTTACAGTATAACGGGGTAAAAACTCTGAGCAAAAAAAAAAGTAAATTTAAAATAATACATGTTCATACAAATGAAAAAGAGAAAAAGAGAGGAGGGACTAATGAAAATTATGCAACATGGAAAGGAGTTAAGGAAAAACAGAAAACTCTATTTTATGATTCTTTGACAGAGAAAATCACCCACATTTTGCCAAATTTGTGCTATATAACCAGTTAAATAAGGGTTTCAATTATGGGTAAATAAGTCTTCAGTTGCAGAATCTCAGAGACAGGCTGTGCTTTTTCCTGATAAAAGTCAAGTCCAGTAAGAAGTTCCACATCACGGACCCGAGCAATGTGTGCATTCCATCTTTCTTCAATCCAAACAGCTTCTGGCCTACCTTCCTAAAAAAGAGAAACACAAGCCTGTTTTCCATAGGGCATGATTTTCATGAAGAGAAAGCTCTTTGATTACTTAAAAGCTGTCCTTTTCTCTGCCATTTCTATTGCCTTGAATTGTAATTTGATACAGCAAAGTTTGAGGTTTATTAAAAAATAAAAATAAATGTACAAAGTGTAATATAACAGACACATACCATCACAAAGTCATGAAGTTTAGCTATTTTTATATATTCTTCAGATATGCAATTTTAAAGAAATAAAATATTACAGATGAAGTTTAAATCCCCAATGTTCCTCTGTTCAGAGCTAATCATGAATTGGTGTGTACCTAGTATGTTTTTTTAAACTTCTACTGCACATCAATATGCAATAAACCAAAAAAAAACAAACAAAAAAACACCATTATCATAGAGTCAGTTCTGACTGATGGCAACCCCCTGTGTTACAGAATAAAACTGGTCCATAGGATTTTCTTGACTGTAAGCAGTCAGGCAGGCTTTTCTTCCTTGATACCACTGGATGGGTTTGAACTGCCAACCTTTAGGTTAGTAGTGAAATGTAAACAATTTGTGCCACCCAGGGACCTTCAATATATAACATATACTATTATTTTATGAGTTTTCAAATTTATATAAATGATATAAGTGGTATTCTACAATTATTTTTTCATTCAGAATTACATTTGAGATGAAGTATCTAGATCTATTTATTGAGTGTTGTGATATTCCCTCACTTAAATGCAGCACCATTCATTTTTTTCATTGTCATATTGATAGGAGTTTTACTACTACAAATAATACTACAATAAATAACTTGGGCCTCCATGAGATGGACTGACACAGTGACTGCAACAGTGGGCTCAAGCATAACAATGATTGCGAGGATGGCACAGGACCAGGCAGTGTTCTGTTCTGTTGTACACAGAGTCGTTATCAGTCAGAACAAACTCGACGGCACCTAACAACAACATGCCTCCTTTGTTCAAGTGCATGAGTTTCTAGGATATAGAAATGGAATTGTTGGGTCATAGAATTCTAACATTGCAACTTTAACTTTACAAAATATTAACTTTTTTTTTTTTAACTAGTTGCCATGGAGTTGATTCCAACTCATAATGACCCCATGTGTTTCAGAGTAGAACTCTGCTCCATAGGGTTTTCGGGGGTTGATTTTTTAAAAGTCGATCACTAGTCCTTTCTTCTAAGGCACCTTGGGTGGACTCCAACTTCAAACCTTTCAGTTAGCAGTCTACCTCATTAACATTTTGCACCACCCAGGGATTCCAGGTATCAACACAGTCCTTCTCAAACAGTTTATACCAATTTACACTTTTGTAGGCTTTGGAGGATAGTTACCATTTCCCCACATCCTTGCCAAACCCATGGGTGTGAAACAGTGTTATATCCTAGTTTAAATTTGATTACCCCAAGTATTATTACAATTTAGTGTCTTTTTTTATTTCTCAGCCATTTGAGTTTTAATAAGATTTTTACTACATAAAAGTTAGTTCAATAATTTAGAAACATGGGTTTCTCTGACATTCTTTATTCTATATTTATTTTCTGCTATTCATATGACATTGCTAATTTTCAGTTAATGTTAACAAAGTGAAAAATTTTATCAAATGAGTCTTTTTCAATAATTCACATTTGACTTTGGTACAGTGGTACTAGTTTTTAAATATGCAGGCTTAAAATAGGTATGCTGTGAGCCAGAGGAAGTGTAAGAGGAGCTTACTTTTTGTTCCTAACCACCAAGGCATTTCTCTGTGTGAGATTCATGAAGGGAGCTAACTATTTTTTCAAATAAATAAATATGCCATGTGCAAATTTGAGCTCATTTTACAAATGGAAATCTAGCTCAAAGTCTTTTTTTCCCTGCCTTTACTATTTCACATTTCAACAGCATTTAATTTTTGATCACTTTTTTTTCATAAAGTTTTCTCCCACTTGGCTTCCATGGAACTTTGGCAGTGCAGTGGTTAAGCGCTCGGCTGCTAACAAAAGGTTGGTGCTTTGAACCCACCAGCTGTTCTGTGGTAGAAAGATGTGGCAGCCAGCTTCCATAAAGATTTACAGCCTTGGAAACCCTATGGGGAAGTTCTACTCTGTCCTACAGGGTCACTATGAGTTGGAATCAACTCTACAGCAATGGGTTTGGTTTTGGTTTTTGGCTTCCGTGACTACTGTCTTCTGGCTTATTTGGGATCCTTTCAACCAAATGTTTACTGAACACCTAACATTCTTCCCTCTTTTAAAATTGTTGTTAAATGACCAAAAAGTACAATACATGACTATACCTACACAGGGGTGATACTCAAACTATTTAACAATCAGGCAAGCCACAGGCATCAACCAGTATGAATTGAAGCCAGCTACAGACAGCTTCTCTGCATTCCAGCAGGGTATCAGCTGTGAACATAGAGTTTTTGTGAGCTATAGTTAAATGTATAGTTTTTATGAAATAGGATATATGTAGATCTGTCTTGTGCGAATGGACTTCTTATAGATATACCCCCAAAATCCAATCACTTTGTTATTTTTGGGGACGATTTATCAGTTTCAATACTTTTTTCCCCTTAACCACTTCCTTATTCTCTCTCTTTAATCATTTCCAATGTGGTTCTTGCTGTTACCACACTAATGACACTGTTTTGTCTAGGAGGACCTTACTGACAGTGATTTCCTCAGACCTTTGACTTAGTTAATCACTAATGCTTCCAAAACTTCGTCTTTTGTTTTCTATAGCTATACTAACTGCTTACTTGTTTGATGACACCTTCTGTCTCTTTCTGCCCTGGGAGTATAGACATCTCCCTCAATTTGACCTTTGGGTCTTTTCTCACTGCTTAATCATCTTTGTCAATTTTATTTTACTCCCATGATTTAATATCAAATCTGTATCTACAGTTCTGATTGTTCTTCTGAGTTCCATACCTGCTAGTAATTTACAATAACGATAGTCACTTGGACTCATGCTACATTCTCATTTATCTGACGTGAATTTAGCTATATAAAGTTGAGGGAAAAAGAAAAAGGAAAAGTAAGGAAGGAAAAACAGATGGAAGCAGGAAGAAAATATATAAGTAGATACAAATCTAGTGCCCTAGGTTGAGTGTAAGGTGGAATTTGTGAATCTGCCATTCCTACAGCTGGTTTCAGCTCCCTCAAACCTCTTAGAGTGTGAGTACCTCCCCACACTGAGTGATTAGAGTATTTAAAACCAGTTGTCATGGAGTTGACTCCGACTCATGGCAAACTCACGTGTGTCAGAGTAGAATTGTGCTCCATAGGATTTCCAATGGCTGATTTTTTATTCCCCTGGAAGTAGATTGTCGGCCTCTGTGAACAACTTCTCTTTTGCCATGAGGCCAGAAGATCTGAATGCTGCCTGGCTACCATTACTGAGCATTTTGATCAAAGATTCTGTAGAAGAATCCTGATCAAAACAGGGAAAATGCAGAACAGAATTTCAAATTCTCATGGACTCCAGGCTTCCTGGAGCCATGAAGGTTGGATGAACCCTTGAAATTATTGCCATGAGATAATCTTTAAAACTTAAACCAAAAATACCTCCTGAAGTGTTCTTAAAATCAAACAATAGTTTAGCTTAACTAATAAAAAAGGTCTGCCTTGAGCATTATACTCTTTTAAGAGCTATCTATATGGGATCAAATTGACAAAAGCAACTCGAAAAATTAGATAGGAACCTTAAACTGTAGTGAGTTTATGTTAATGAAGGAGGAACATCTCAGAAAAGGAGTGTGAGAATTGTTGCACAGCTCAGAGAATGTAATCAGCATCACTAAATTGTACATGTAGAAACTGTTGAATTGGTGTATGTTTTCCTGTGTATATTCTCAACAACAACAACAAAATAAATAAAATTCAGGAAAGAAAAAAAGTAGATTGCCAGGCTTTTCTTTTGAGGCACGTCTGGGTAGACTCAAATCTCTAATCTTTTGTTTAGCAGTTGAGAGTGTTAACCATTTACACCACCCAGGGACTCCTATTTAGAAGAGTAGAGTTTTCGCCTAATGTGGGCCTTAAAGCAAGCCAAGTACGTCATCAGAAGTTTAAAGAAAGGCACAATTTTCTATTCCAATGCTAGTGCAACAATTGGCTGGTTTTGGCTCCCTGAGGGACTGAATTGTTGGGTGGAGGGCTTAGGGACCATAGTCTTGGGGAACATCTAGCTCAATTGGCATAACACAGTTTATAAAGACAATGTTCTACATTCTACCTTGGTGAGTAGCATCTGGG